TCCGCGATACGTTGCTGTTCGATAGCGGATGCATCAATAAACGCAAACAACTTTGCATTTTCCTTGCATTGTAAACTTATAGTTATAGGAATAAAAACGCTGAAATTCATAAAATCAGGTCCCTGTCAGGTGTTGCTGTCATGAAGATCTATGAAGCGACGATGGAATTCCAGTTTTCCTTGATAAAAGTACACCAAAGTGCACTGGGAGGGCGACAAACTTTGAAATAAATGCATTCAACGGTAGGCTAAAAAATTTAGGTTTACAAAATAATTATATGGTTTTGTTTCTGTTTTTCTGTAACAAAACATTGGAAAAAAACACGATGCGGGAATTAAATTATTGAATTTTTTTAAAAAGTTTATTCACTATTGTTCAAATTACGAATAAATTTGAAAGTTGTTTTTATCCAGCGCTTGTGTATACAATAAAAAAGTTATTCTGCGAGCTTGAGTCGTATATGTACTGATAGTTAATTTTATATTCAATGTAGTTCATTTTTTTAAAGCAAGTAAAATCTGTTCACTTTTGCTTCATTTACTAGTAACGTAGTAAGCTTGCAATTTTCAAGCTAATTTCCATTATGCAAATTCTCTGTAATCCGCTGGCATAGCACAGGGTAAACAATAAATACAGAGCTGGAACCATAGCGTAACGCTGGAACGATCACCTGGTGAATAGTAATTACATATAGCGTTTTTTGTACCCACTTTTTGGGGCGAGTGAGCAAGTTGACCAACTGCGCATGCTCGGCAAGTGCCTGAAATGTTCAAAATGGCTTGGATCTCTTGTTCAAACATTTCCGATTTACAATATTTGAAGCTTTACGATATCGTCATATATATGGCATTTTACGCACTTAAGATGAATTGAGGAATTGATTAATATACTTCAAACCTCAGGCACTTGCCGACCATGTGCACTAAAAAGTGGGTAAACTAGTTCTAGCTCTGTGCGTATCTTTTACTTACTCTGTGCCATAGCACGCCAGGCATACGTCCGAAATAGTTAGCAACGACATGCGTATACGTCCAAAAAAACACGACGTAACGGAATTCGAAAGTGATGACCGGCCTTTGCACGATCACAGCAGTTCCATAGTTTTCTTTTCACATACGACACGACCGTACACGCAAAAAAACTGTAAATCAAGCTGACTGTTGCTATGGCAACACATGAATGTATGAACAGCATTTAGTACTTCAGCAAAAGGCTTAGTTTCTTATTGATGAGGTTGTTCAAAATTCTCACTTGGCAAGGATTGGGCTAACGTTTTCCATGTTTTGGGTAGGCATAGGTTTCATGTATGAAAACCCAACTGTGGAATGCAGTTAATTTATACTAATTAACGACGAGTCTTGACCTTCAGACAGGGCTAGGCCTAGGTTTACATTACTATGTTTTAAAGTAAACTTATAAAACGTGTATAAAATTAGGTAAACAACTCGAGTTCAACGAATTGTGTAACAAGGAAGTGAGTATACCACGCAAACCTAAATCTTGGAAATTGTTTTGATAAACAAGTGAATTCATCATACGCCACTGAACTTACAGCGGGACATGCAGATATGTCTTTCACTATGCTAATGCTTCACATAAAAAATCCATTTCGACTATCCGAATGACTCGCAGGATGTTCAGCCCACTTCTGGTACAAATAGGGTTAAAATAGCACTTACCCTGAAAATTCAGGAGAATGACAAATACTCCTGCTGCCACTAACCCAGTGCACTTGAACATTTCAGAATACCCTTAGAAGAAGTGAACGCTTAAGTTAAGAATAATTTCGAGAGCAAAATTGTAATTTATAGCTAAATACGAAACAGGAAGAGCACAGGAAATTGCGATGGCAATAAATATTCAGCATGATTCAAATTGGGAAGTATTAGTGGATTGGTTCAGCCCATTGAACTGTAAACAAACTGGAGCGATAACTCAGGGGGGGAAATTGAAGCCATTGCTTTTTACTTTTTCTGAGTTTTGAGCTGAAATACTTAACGCCAAATGTTGAGCCGTATATGACATTAAAGCTATTAAAAAGTTACATTTCGTGTAGAAATTTCGAGACTTTATCTTAAAGGGAAATATCTAAAAAATATTTGCAAATTTCCCCGTTTTTTTCCGGTGGGTAATTGTTTTTTTTTTAATATTTCCTTTGTAGTTCAAGTCTTGAAATTCCTACGCTAAACATAACTTTTCAATAGCTTTAATTTGACACACAGCCCAACGTTTGCCATCAGGTATTTCTTCTCAAAACTCAGAAAAATCTTTTTGGTTTCAAGTCAGGAGTTACCGTTCCAGTTGTATAGAGTTCACTGGTTCAGCCCAGTGAACTCAAATAAGACTGGAACGCTCACTCGCTGACTTTCCCTCATTAATGAGTGAAGCCAAGATGGCGGATCATGAAGCCTTTCTTGTAGGTATGATCCAGGCCTCTGGCGCGGAAATTTCAAAGGAAAATCATAATTGCCGCCATTTACCTCCGCGCCGGAGGCCTGGATCATACCTACAAGAAAGGCTTCAGTGGGCTTCAGTGGGCTTCAGTGTCCGCCATCTTGGCTTCAAACTTCCGACAGAGTGAGCGTTCCAGTCTTATTTGAGTTCACTGGTTCAGCCTCGTTCCCAGGTTCTTTGAAGTACTTCGCAGAGAAAGCACTAAGCGCGGATGTGCTCGAGGAGGTTTCTCGCTTACTGCTTTGTCCGCGAATTTCTTCAAAGAGCCTGGGAAAAAGGCTGAGACGTGTTCTTAATAATATTTGTGGATGTCATCTTTGTTTGGATCTTCTTAATTATGTCTTTGGATTTTTTTCTTGCTCTTCCTCTCCAAATTTCCTTTAGCGCTTGACGTGAGTTTCGCATTGCAGGCTTGCTAGGGCAGAAACAAACATAAAATGGTAAAATCTTTCCATATTGAGATTAAGTTGCAAATGTAAAATTGAACAGCATGCCAGCTCTACTCAATTTTTTTAGAGTAAAGTGATTTTATAGTTACTGACTCAAGTCTCAAGCATGTGTAATGTGTACAGTATAAATTCTTTGTTCAATAAATTGTTGATACCGTACGTTCTCAATATTTTAGTACATTTTTGTTTGTTTACTTCGCTTGAAGAAAAATTTCAGCTTTACTCAGTCATTTCTTTGAGTTTGTAATACGAACACTGTAGTTGAGTAATTTCATTATCGCAAGTTATACTCGTTGATGAGCACAGTACACTCTTTGAGTTCTCTTTCTGAAGAGATTTTAATAAAAAATACGAGTTTTAATCTACTCAAAATAAAAAAGTGAAATTAATCTGCAGGAGAAAAAGTGAAATAGACTGAATTTTTTGAGTAGTTAGTTGAGATTACTCAAAACACGAGTAGAACTTCCTCAAACAATGAAAATGTATATTTTGCAAAAATACCCTAAAGCTGTTTAACTTCATAAAATTATATAGGCAATACCTGTGCTTATGGTTAGGGTTGGTCTTGGCGCTAATGTTTCTGTTGTCAATGAAAGACGCCAATCAGTGGAGTCAAATTCACCTTTGAATGAATTTTTTAATAAAAGTATTTTGGAGGAGACAATTGTTAGTGAAAATAAAGGTCACTAAATAGGTGTTGTTGTCTTTCCTAATGTATCATCATAACTAGCAATGCCTTGTCATCAAGAAAAATACTGTAACTTGACCCAGACTCAAGTGGTACATTACACTAATCATTTGTTGTTAATCTTCATCTTCGTGTTGTTTGAAAACTTGTTGGTTCGTTCACTTCGTTGAATCGACAATGTGTCCTTATTAATACGCTGCAGGTTGCGTTTTCAAATTCTTCCGGCGGCATCGTGTGGACAGGGCCTCGATATTTTCCAATGCAGAATTCACTGGTTACTAGTGCTAAACACAGCTGCTCGGATCTAAAAAGTCTGAAAAATTTATGAAAATTTATATACTTTTTGTTTTAGATGCGTTTCGAATATTGCATGTTCACCAGCTAGAGAGACTAAAACTTAAATCGCGGAACTGTGTGGATAAACGCTATACCCTATAACTCTATTAGTTTGTCTTTGATGAATTTGTCACATGAGAATGAAATTTATAAAAACTAGATTACTTACATTTTTGACGTTTTAAACATTTCAGTGCTCGTGGCTTGTTACGATAAAATAATTTTAGTGTACACACAATAATTATGCGGAAACCCGCAAACCTGGACAAGCCTGCATAGCCAAATTGTTAACCACATGCACTTTTAGAAAAAATCTAACCTTGCGTTAAGCAATATTCTTGCTGAAAAAGGCTGCCAACATAGACAATCAAAGGATTCATTGTCTGGCTGCCAATCATCGTATCCGACAATGTTACAAGAATTATACAAAAAAATTAAATACATATATTTTCGTCGATATCTCTAACAATGTATTTAAAAGGAATATTGATCAAGACAACCTTCATTGTTTCTTCCATATATTTAGGCGTGCCGGCAATCGTGCTAGGCAAACGCCCAGCGCAACTTTTGTAACTGCAGTGAGGCAAGTATGATATTCACGCGTGAAAAAGACGCGCAAGAAAAAAAAAGGTGTGTAAAACATCTGCGATAGCTACATCATCACCTTACTTGCAGTTAACGTATATTTTTGTTTATCTCTTTTAAGTAAAATGTGTCAATAAAGTTAGGTAAAAGGTGCTATCCTATCTACCAGCGTAGCCTCTCGAACTTTATACAGTGGCGTCGCCAGCATGATAAGTGGGGGACTTATTCATATATTCGTGTTTTATATTATTCATTTCTTTTCAAATTGATTGTTTCAACCGTCTGTGAACAAGAATATATGAATATGTCCACCCCATTTATCGATACTGGCGACGTCACTGGCTTTATAAATTTATTCATCGACCATAATTATAAGTCGCATTGGCTGCATGTGCATGTTCACTACGTATAGAGCTATAGGTCAGCTGCCTGCGTTGAGTGTTTAAGTCAAAAAGGATTTTCATCCTCGTGTTTATGACGAGCAAATCATGTTGACAATTATTTCATCTCATCGAGTTCTTTGGTATAGCATTGGTAACATTGGCTACAGCGAGACAGTGAGCGAGACCAGTTATTTTTCCCGCACAATCACGCTTTATTTGTTTTGCAGGCAAGACAGCTTACTCAACACATTAGGGAAGTCTACATTGACATCAAAAGCCAGGGTATGAATAATTTTTGCGACTTCAAAATGAAAATGAAATTCCTGAAACGGACCGGTAAACTTTTTTTTTCCACAGGAAGAAAAGAAAAAAAATTAACAATGATACAGAGACAGATTTTGAGTTTGAGTTAGTATGTAATAATCTTTTCAATCAGAGAATGTTATATGGAACTAAAATATGACGCACAATCTTCTTTTTCAATTTTTTTATTTTTACCTTCTTTCTTCAAATTTTCAGCAAGGACTTCGTACGGGTCAAAATTTTTTTACAATGAGTTGAATCATGAAAAAGTCGCCCAATCCACATATTACGATGTAAGTAAAGGGGTTACAGGGTGATGTGATGTATCAAGTTAGACCACAGCTAATAGAATATACATGCATTATAAATTTCTACCCGTTAATGTGGTAAATAGTAATAACAAGACACCTGCTCAGGCGTTCACTCGGACTACTGTTATTTCGCTTGAGCTTTTTACGCGTAATTTTTGGTCTTATATATGGCATGTTCGTGGCACCCACTCGAGAAACAATCCTAGGACGAATATTTCAATATCCACTTCAACTCTCGAAATAAATCCATATTTCCAAGGAACCATGTAATATTCTGTTTATTATATGAACAAATTATAAGACAAATTAAAAAACTGGAACATTTTACAACAGATTTTTTGCTTGTTCAAACATATTTCCTACGCGGTTTTTGAGTGGCTTGCGAAAATGATATTTTTACACGTAAAAATATCTTATTTTTACATGTGTTTAAATGCGATTTTTCTTGGTGGCGTAAAAAACACTATAATTTTTTTCAACACTCATGTTCATATAATGAAATTAATCATATAATTGTATAATTTCGTCAAATAAGTGCTGCTGCTTGAGACTTAAGTTGAACATTGTGCATGTCATGCATATTCTTTTGTTTGCATATTCACTATATTTTTCTTTGTATGTTTCTTTCAAGTATGCTTTTTGGGAAACATAAAAAATATAAGAATAAAATAAATTAATAAATATAAGATCCTTCGCACATGGCATTACAGTAGTAGTCATCTAAAACATGTTAAAATACGGGTAGCGATTTTACTGATAAAGCTTCATAAAGGTACATGAACCTTTATCAATCGCACAACAATTCTTTTAAAAAGGCAGGGGAGCATTTGGAGGACAATTCTTGTGTTTATGACGTCTGAGTAATACGGGTCCATATTGTCATTCTTCGTAACATGTTACGATTGGCGGTAAATTCTTGAATTATGAATGAGCATTCTTTATGAGACTAATTGAATGATTCAATTTGCTAATACTTCGGAGGCTCCGATATCAATCGGAATAAAACTATTGGTCTCCGAATCGGATGTATTACAACTTCTGCTCCAGTATAATTTGGACAATTTAAAAAGGATGTAGTTTTAACAATTGTTGATCCATTGAAAATAAGTTTTCATTTAAACATTAAGTAAGTAAAATCTCCTTGTTTAATAGCATCTATAATCAAGACTGTGCTTTAATATTTTATAGCATCATGCACTTTTTGAATTATATTTTATCTTTATTAAATAAAAGTCCTTATAGTAGTACATCAAAAACGTTGTTTCAAGAACAATTTTAAATTCATAATCACCAAGTATAAATAAGTTACTTTCTTATATTGAAGTGTTTTTATATCCACTTGAGACTCGAGAAAGCCGGCACACTATTGCGAGTAATACAATATAGCTAGAAATTCACAGAACATTCAGATCAATTGGCTATATATATGTACTTGAGAATATTCAACCCTCGACTTCACTGATTCCTATCACAGGCAATCAAAGGAAAGGACTGGAAAAGCCAGCATTATGCAATGCGACATCTGTGTTACGGTCTATCGCGTAGCAAATTATTGGTTACCGGGGCAACCGTTCTTTGGTATATTTCTCGAATATAGATTAAAAAAAGATATTTGCACTCGCGGCTCTCTACTTAGTCAACTTGTTAAAAATATTCAACTTTGAATTCAACTTGAATATCGAACGGTTTAACTGAAACTAATTACACAGGATTCAGGATGACAAAATGTGCTGCCTTTTCGCATAGTCGCGTGAGTTAGCAGTTGAAATTCATTTGTATCGCATTAATTTGTCACAGCTATTTTATTTAATTACATCTGATTATATGGATTAAAATTTAAAATTGCATTCGCGCAATTTGTCACTTCATTGACCAATCAAATTTGAATTTGTTTCTGCAGCCATTCTGATTGGCCAATGAACAGGAAGTAAGTTATTCAAGGAGTTTCCCTAAAAAATTTACAAACTCAGTAAATCAACAGATGAATTGATATCATTATTTTTTGAAACCATGCATTGACGAGCATTTTGGCGATTAATTATTGCATGACAGAATCTAAAGTGCTCCAGATTACGAGTTCCGTTTAAACATACGATTTTTGCTGCGATTTATGCGCTAGTTTTTATATATAGATGTGAACGAGCTCCTATTTAAACATCTTTAACTAATTTACTCGTTCCTATCTATCAAAAGAAAAAAAATCGCACATAAAATCCCAGCAAAAATTGCAGGGGTAAACAGGCCGTAATAGGCTATAATTTCTTCACTCTACACTTAACAGTGGAGGTGCTCAGCAAGAGACCCAAAGAAAACAATTCCAGTCAATCAGCAGAAGAAAATTGCAATAATGACTTCAAGAAACTGTTGAAAGATTTTGCATCAGACACGAGCTTTGGTGGGATTTCAAAGGCAACTTTATCTGATGGCTATTTACGTCGATTCCTTTGGTTTTTGATATGTGCAATTTGCTATGGTATAACTATCTATCTGTTCATATTCTTGATTAACCAGTATTTCAGTAAGCCAACTAAAACTACAGTGGATATTGTTTATGAAAAGGTTTGTATTTCATAAGGTCTGAGAAATGTCGTAGAACATAGGCTGAAGACCAAGGATGATAACTATACTAATTGAAAATTTAAACCTTCTATTTAGAACATCGATTTTCCTTCGGTGACAGTTTGTAACCTCAATCAATTTCGCAAATCAAAAATTATGAATATGTCATCAATTAACGAGACTGTTTTGCATTTCGGCGGCGGGAATCACAATAAAATGGCCAATTCCAGTCTGGAGAAAATTATCAAAAACCAGATCAAAGGTTTTGAGAAATTATTTGCTGAGAATATCGATAGTAAAGCGGATATCAATGTCAATGAATATTTGATTGTTGAAGAATTAGTTGTCATGGCTGCGTCGAAACATGACGAAGAAGATCTAAGAAGAGTTGGTCATCAATTCCATAATTTTATTACGTCTTGTACGTGGAGCTTATTTGATTGCAAGAGTGGGTGAGTCTGTTCGTCTTATCACATCATAGTACAAGATTGGTTGTATTGATCTAGTCTGGGTTTAGAGCTAGTGGCGTAGCCATACAGCATGAAGATTTAGTCCCATCATGCAAATTAAAGTTAATTATAATTATAATTTATATTTATTGAAATGCTCAATTTTTTCTTACAGTATTTTTGAACAATTTTGGGTACAAACATGGAACTGGAAATACGGTAACTGTTTCACATTCAATTTCGGAGTCAATCAAACAGGTCAAGATATGGACATATTTGAAACAACCATACCTGGGCCTTCCAATGGTAGGTTCGAAGCATCACGCGGTATCTGGATTAAATCCATGTATAATATGTTCACCATTTTAATTAATATTTATGATTTTGTAGGCCTTATTCTTGAGTTGAATATTGAACAGCAAGAATACGTGGACGCATTGACTGACGAAGCTGGGGCAATCATCACAATTCACAATGCAAAGCAATTACCGTTTCCTTATTATGAGGGAATCACTGTTCCTCCAGGATTTTCTTCCTCAATCGCCATCAGAAAGGTCAGGATATGAATTACGTTATCCATTCTTTTTCATCTGTTACAAAGACCAGAAAGCAGTTGTCATAAAAGTAGCGCAAAAAGTAAAAATAGTTGTTATTGCCAAGTACAGCATATATGACATATGCATATATTATACATGCTACGTAAAAAAATTATATATAATATACAATACACATTTCGTTCATTTTAGGAGACTATGATTAGAGTGGATCCATTTAAGAATGGCAGCTGTAATGCGTTGCCTTTCCTTGCTAAGGACAATATTTATAGGAATTATTTAAATGGCTCAGTTAAAACCTATTCTGTAAAGGTATGATTTATATAAAATTCATTCCTAATTCTTCATTCATAATAAAGTGACACAGGAAATGAATAAATTCTCTATGTACTAGAAAATAACCCAAATAGTTTCAAATGTTTAGAGGTCTATAGTGAAAACAATTTTACATTTTTAATTCATTGTACAATATGAGGAAATTTATTCCCTCATTCCTACCCTCCATCCATCTTTCATACATTTAGGCGTGTATGCAATCGTGCTTGGCAAACACCCAACTAAACATTTGTAACTGCATTGATGCAAAGTATGCTATTCACGTGAGAAATATTTGCACAGTAGAAAAAAGTAAGTGTGTAGAAAATCTTCGATACATCGTCTATACTGACTTGCACAGTACATTAGTGTTAACGCGTATGTTTTTCTCTTTTAAGTGGATTGTATCAATGCAGTCAGTACCTGGTTTAAACACGACGGAGTTGAATGCATCAAGAAATGTCCGCAACCGTGCCAGTAAGTTAAACATTTATAGATTGTATTGCGTTAAGGGTCATAAATTTAAATTCTTCCTATAACTATATAATATTGATCCATTATCATAAATCATAAATGTTAAGAGAGGTGCTCGATCGTTTCTGCTGTACTATAAAGCTAGCGTAGTCCCGTATAAATTATCCACTAGAGCTAGGTGCCTGCCTCGAGTGGGTCGTTATCTTAAAAAAGATTTCCTTTACCGTGTTCACGACGAGAAAATCATGTTGACAAATTCATCACATCAAGCTTTTAGCTTTTTTCATGTGAACAATTTGTTGGCAACATAACATTGGTAGGCATTGGTGACTTTGCCTACAAGGGAAATGCTATATTTTATGTTGCAGGCAAAGCAGTTTTCTTCGCACATTAGGAAAGTCTACATTGACATCAAAAGCCAGGGTATGAATAATTTTTGCGACCCCGTGCACAAATAAAAATGAAATTCCTGAGACGGGCCGCCGAACGTGTGTTCTTTCCTTCATAGGATAAAAAGGAAAGGAAAAAATTTGGCAACAATACAGAGACAGATTTTGATTTTGAGTTAGTATAATAATCATCATTTCAACGAAAGAAAATCATGTGGAACTAAAATATGACGCTATTTTTTAACTAAAATATGAAATTTTTTTTATTTTTTATTCTTCAAATTTCCAGCAAGGACTTTGTACGGGTCAAAATTTTTTACAACGAGTTGAATCATAAAAAAGTCACCCAATCCACATATTACGATGTAAGTAGAGGGGTGATGTATCAAGTTACTGGTGTCCCTGAAGTTCATTCATAGTACTATTTCCTTTCATTTGATTAGGTTGCAACTCTTTTTGGTGACATTGGAGGACTAATGGGGCTCTGGATTGGAGTTTCAATTATATCCATCGCAGAGTTTGGTGAACTACTGATCTCTCTTTGTATTTTAGCTGCACGAAAATCTGCAGTAAAAAGGAAAATCTCCCGATGCGTCGATAGGTAGAAATATTATTTGCTTGGAAATATAGCTTATTCTTTTGCTCGTCCACTTTTCATTGAAATACCACATTTGTCTACTCCACAAAAATTTCAGGCAGGTAACGGAAATTGTAACTGTAGTTGTTAGTAAATCTATCACTGATATAACATGCTTCAGGCATGGTGTAAAATACTTTTAGAAGTAAACTCACGATATATTTACATGCATAATTATATATAATGATACAGTCTAAGAAAAAACTATGTTGCCTTTAAGCCCCTATTGGATTCTGGCTTTTAAAACTTTATATGCAGTGCCTCGAGGAGCAACAACATATTAGAATTTGTGTGGTTGAGGCCATGTTCTCGTATATAGGCAGCCTCTTGATTAAGTCCTGCGCGCTATAATGCGAATTAATAATAATGCAAATTTATGAGCATTATATGACATAAGGAAATGTATCACTAACAATAACAAAACATTAGAAGTCAGAACTCGCTGGGCTGGGCAAGCCATTGTAAGCGTTTACTATATGTAGGAATATGTAAAAAAAACTCTATATATTTTCACTCTTTTTAAAACAAAATACAGAAGATTTTGTTCACATCCACTTTCAGAAATCCGGGCCTTTCTATAGATAACTTATCCATAGGAAATTGCGCTTATCTTCAGTTTAAGATGTCAATATGTTGTATAAACACGACACAAAATTATTGCTTTGCAACTGCATGTGGCTAAAAGAATTAATTTTCAAAGCGATTGAAACGGCTGCTTATTAATCAATGTCAATATTTTAATAACTTTCGGAAGCTTTCGGAAGTTTTGAAATAATTGATCATCATTTTCACTTATGATAAGTCAACTGCTGGCTCACTTATTTAAGAAGCAGCAGCGAATCTCACAGATTAATAATGGCAAAATTCTAGCACAGGAATTCTACAGAATTGCGTCATCTGTATAACTGCTTTTTATACGGAAACTCAAAATTGCCTGTTAACCGACTAATAAATCAAACATTGTACGCCCGTAACAATCTACGCATAGACGGAAAATGGCGGAAATTTTTCCCCGCCTTTCTATTTAGGGCCCCGCCTTTCTATTTCGGGCCCCGCCTTTCTATTTCGGGCATGGGTCTGCGGCGCAGGCTAGCCCGTTCGTAAATAGAATGATCATGGGTAAATATTTATATCTCCAGTTCACCCCAACGGATTTCTTTTGCAAATGCGGTAGCTAATTACAATAGAAATCCGTCGGGCAGAACAGAATATATGAATATTCAATCCCAATTATCGTTCTACTTACGCCCCTGGTTGGTGTTATCGCACGTGTATGGTCCGGTGGTGAAATACATCGACGACGTCGCGCTCATGACTTGTATTATACTTTATTTAAATGATAAAACATTAAACTTACTTCCCCCCTCCCCCTAAAGCACCATGCATCCAAAACACAATTCAATGAACGGCGCACGCGTATATTTAGGCAAACACCTGAACCTGTCTCTACCGTTCTTTGAATAAGTCCATCAGGTTTCTTTTCAAAATTTAAGGTAATTCTGCAGTAATTGTTCCCTAAATGAGAATGCGCTGAAACTTTCCAGGGTTCTAGTTAATGTCATGCACAAAGTAAAAACACAAAGGAAAGTTGGGGTCACCGACTTCGTTTAGAAGATTTGACAAACACAATTCATCACGTTTTTCCAATATGGCGCCATTTTTATTTTATTTCGATTTACAAGAAATATTTGCAATTGCACAGCTGTAATTGAATTTATCAATGATCGTATAATTATAGTACTTATTGACCTTTTTCGCGAGTTTCATAGGTAGCTAGACATAAATCACTTTATCCGTGCAGGAAACTCTATAGGTAAACTTATACGATTTTTATAATGCGAAGAACAACATTTCTATCAAACATTATTTTTTTTACTTGAAACATCCATACATTATCAAATTTTCTAGATATCACGCTTTCCGTGCGACAGATGCTGTTCCTGACTGTCTACCTTGGAAAATATATGCGTTGTGCGCACCTGTATAGATGAATCCTGCAGGGGTCTGCTGGCGCGTCTTACCGCCATACATGTCCCGACTACAAACATTACTTGAATTACCATCCATTAGCACTACTACATTATATCGTCCTTATATGGCACTTGTACCAACCGACGATTTATCGATATTACCATTATCAATGTATTTCGTCTTTTCGACAAAATATATCGCTGACAACAGCACAAATTTCCTTTCTTAAAGGTTTACTCCTCCAGAAAAACACAATCGAATTCAAACTCGAATTCAGTTGAAAAAGTGTTGCAACCCAAACATCAACCAGTAGTTGCACGTCTCCTCCAAAGTTTTTCCTCGTTACCGTAGCCACTGTGGACGGTAAATAACAAATAACAAAGGATATCACTGCCAAAAAGCAAGATTTTGCGAGGTTAACATTAAGCACGACTTTACGTCGCTGACCGTTCCACGAGGTTAAATCTGCCTCCCGATTAGCTCCTTTTAAATGAATATTTTTGGAAGAATTCAAGTGAGCGAGATAAATTCTCACATAAAAGTACACTAAGAGAATGTTGAAAAGCAAAAGTTCGGGAACGATCACATACTCGAAAAAAATTGGGAAACGCCAGGATAGGATTGTACCAATGGCCGCAAACAACCAGAGAAAAATGAGACATTTCATTAGTTGTTTCGATGTCACTTTTGCTCGATGAAACAGCGGGTGACATATCGCCGCGTAGCGTTCCCAACTCATGACAACCAAAGTTTTGAATGAACATCCCGAAAAGAAAAGTAGAAAACAAAAATGGAAAATTCTTAGATAGTGTTCAGTTTCCTTTGAAGTATATTCTTTCAACAGTACTGCAGCATAAAGTACATTGGATCCTAATCCAACCAGAAAATCGTTAACTGAGAGCATCATAATCATAAAATACGCCATCTTGCCTTTAAGAAGTTCTGACTTGATGTAAGCAGTGATCGTTGCGAGGTTAAGACATATTGTTGCAATTGCCAAACCAATGTTGAATATTCCAAATGCCAGATTATTTGCAACGACGTTTCGCGAAGAGATTGGGTCATCGACTGTGGAATTCATCTAAAAATGTAATAATGGTATCATTTAAACAGAAGAATCATGTTTTTTTCTGGATGGGTGCACGAGTAACAGTGTCAAGCCTTTTAATTTATGTCTTGCAATCTTGCATTATTTGCGAGTATAAGAAATTGTCTTAATATTTTCGCCATATATATTAGGTATAAGAGGTTACTTAATTCAGAACGATTATGAAATTTTATCATCGAGTGTTTTTATTTGGCTTTCATGTGCTGATAATTAAGTGACAGTCGACATTTTAGAAATCATGTTCACCAGCTCATCAGGCTGTGCATCCGACCGCACGAGAGCTGGGTATATCTAACGGATAGAAGAGGTAGTCTAGTACATTAAAAAAAAAAACTTCTGAAAAATATACTGAAAATCTTTTCATGACATATTGCAAGCCAAGTTGCTCTGAGTGAAAAAAGACTTCTTCGTAGGAATTTTCAATCACCATAGTTACCCAGACCAATAGACGACCATAGACGATTTTTGCGATGAACACGGTGACAAACTATAGGTTTTAAAGCTAGAACGACGTAATTAGTTTTATTTAGTTCTAAATATTTTTGCCTCGGAGCTGAACCTGAAATAAATAAAACTTTCCCAGCAGTAAACCGACCGGCTATAAATATAAAACTTCTACGATCTATCTAAAATAAATAGTCACTTTAAAGTCAACCATGGAAATTTTATCAAGTCATCTTTATTACTTTTTATGTTATCGTGCACGAAAGTAAGGGGAATGCATGAGAATTTTAATTTGCTAAGAAAAGCGACGAAAAGTTTTGCATGTACAGTATATTCATAAATTATAGTTGAACAATGAGACAATAGAATAAGCCAATGGACCCCTTTTGTAGCTCCGGGTAAAACCCTAATTATAGTAAACTTTTCTTTTAATTCTCGGGTTCTTTATATATTTTTTTGAGAAAAAGTACAATCAATTTTTACGCATGCATAAAATATCGAATATATGATAGAGAAATTGTTGAATGGTTTTTAGCACGCGCGCTAGAAATAGCAGAGACATGTGCACCTAATTCTAATGCATCGCGCTTGAGCTCGGTTAGCCACCAAACTATGGGGCTCGTTAGGCTCGCCCCAACAATTCCACGCAGGAAAATGTAAACTGCATGCTACAACTTTACCTTTCAAAAAAGTATTCGGTAAGCAAAAGCACTAAAAACACTAAATTACTGTAAAAACACTAAATTTCTAAGGAAATGTATATAACTAACATGCAATAGCAAAAAATTTGCATATATCAAAGTCAGAACTCGTTTGGCTGGGCAAGCCATGCATTGACATTGTAAGCGTAAACTATGTCTATGTAGAAATAACGAAACTA